TTTGAACCGCATATCTTTGAGTACCAGTTGGTCCTTCGGGTTGAGACGATTCGGCCTAGGGAGGGATGAGTAGTTCGACTCAGCCTCATGCCTTGGGTTTACTTGCGATGACACCAAAGTCTTAGTGTACATGACTTGGGCTTAGGGAGATGCCAAGATTTTTTTTGTCAATGTAGATTGAGTTGACGTGCCTTAATTTTATCCTGAAAAGGTACCAATATCTTTTTATCAATGGCGTGCCTTAGTTTTACCCTGAATAGGTACCAAGAGAATTAGAGTCGGAGCCGACCGAGTCGAGGCATGCCTTGATTTTACCCCAAGAGGGTACCAAGGATGTTTATCAATGGCGCGCCTTGGTCTTACCCTGAGTAGGTTCCAAGTGTTGGCCTTCTTATTTTGGTGATGTTTAACAAACAATTTACCACTAATATTGTTTGTCTAGTATTTGTGTTTTCGTATTTATTGTAGACAAACAACGTAGTTGGAGGATGGATGGAATAGAGCTTCAACGATGATATCCAATGGAGGTTGGCAGATTTATGGAGTGAAGCTGCATACAATTCAAGTTAAAGATCAAGTTCAAGCTTCATCCGCAACGTGTACCAAGTTGAGCTACAATGAAGATCAAGATCAAGCTTGGGTAATTTAGTATAGGTTTATGTTATGTGTGTTTAATACATTAAGCTCAATATAGTATACACACACATTTATTGGTTTCTTCGTATATATATATACTTATATATATATACATAAGTTTTGGTTTCTATACATATATATAGCTTTTGAGTTTTCATGTTTATAATATGAAATCACATATTTCATATTTACTATTGTGTTTTTGAAAACATTGCATAAAATATACAATTTTGTGAAAATATTATATTCTTAGTTTGTAGACTTCAACATCAGTTTATACATGTTTTACTAAGTCTATAAAAACATTTCACAAAGTTTCAAAAGTTGGTTTGTGTCAAAACATCAAAATTTAAGTATCTCATATTTTCATGTTTTGGACTATTTTGTAAAATAATGATATTTTTCATTTGGGAGGCCCTTTCTGATAACCAGTCATTATCATGTCTACAATCATTCCCCAAAGTTTTATATTTTTTGGAATTTATTTAATATTTTTAAACAGCATTTTAAAATCAGCAAATCAGATTTTCATATGTCAGTTTTCGGTCGACCGCACCGGTCGACCGATCATTTGGTCTTTCGTTACTAGGCGACAGAGAAACTGTCGGTCGACCGGTCCGGTCGACCGAGAGCTCCAATCGGTCGACCGAAATTTCCGTCGGTCGACCGAAAGTTTTCATCGGTCGACCGCACCGGTCGACCGACGATTGTCCAGAGCTGGTCTTCGTGTTTTTGCTCTCCATCGGTCGACCGACAGAATTTCCGGTCGACCGACAATATAACCGTTGGCTTCCAATGGCTATTTCCTGAGCTGATTTTCTGGGGGCTCTTTTGTCTTTTGCTTGGGGTTTTTGTTGAGATCTTGAGTGGGTATAAATACCCCATTGCTGATCTCTTTGAAGTGAAGAAAAAAAGGTTTTTAAACAAGGTTTTGAAAAAGGGTTTAAGCTTATTTTAAGCTTGTTTAAGGGTTTGGTTTAAGCTGTTTTGGTTTTCACAAGTGGAGGAGATTATCTTCTTGTTTTGGGTTCATATCTCCATCTCTCCATCTTGATCTAGAGAAGAATTTCTAAACTCAAACTCTAGCTTTACATTTATATACTTGTTTGATTATCATTGTTCTTAAGCTAGATTTTATATTTGAGTTTAGTTTGATTTTGATTTCACTCATTGTTACACACACCCACTTTGAGCTTATTGTATTTGCATACATAGTATATTAGGGTTGTGAGAGATTGTAACATTGAGTTGTGCTTAATTGAGTTCTCATCTATTGTAGAGAACAAATTTATATTTGTTACATTGTGAGTGTTGTAAGGTTTTCGGTGAGCTAGAAAACCGAGTGTGTTGTGAAGTTTTCGGTGAACTAGAAAACCGAGTGTGAGGAGTGAACGTTGTTCGGTGAGCGTTGAAAACCGACATAGTGTGGTTGTAAACGTTATTCGGGTGAACGTAGAAAACCCGGTTGTGATAGTGGATTTCTCCCCGGGAGTGGGGAGCGGAGACGTAGGACGGAAGGTCCGAACTCCGTGATCATATTGCTTGTTTGAGTTTGTCTTTGGCGTATTTGTTTTTGCATTTATCTTATATCGTCAATTGTGCATTACTCGTTTATTTCATCCACTATCTTGTTTAGATTATTTACCCTTGTGTTGTTTATATATCCTTGCATATATCTCTATCATATAGGATATATCTCATTGTTCATATTGTTTATCCTAGTTTATATTCTTGTTGTATTTCATACTTGCTAGGATAACTTGTTAATATATTTTAATTGGCATTTAATCGGATTAGATTAGCATAAGACCCTAATCACCCCCCTCTAGGGTCTAACACCAAGGTCTTTTGTCGATGGCGCACTTTGGTCTTATCCTAATTAGGTACCAAGGTCTTATGAGTCTAAGCAGATCAAGTCAATAATGATTGATCGACAAGAGCTGCACATAGATATAGTAGGAAAAAAAATCTTGTTTGAAGATAGCACCATTAACTTAATTACCTTGTATAGAACCATATTTGTATTGGTCTTATACATGAAAGTGATGCCAATGTCTTTGGCCAAAGTAAGCCAAGTCGATGGAGATCAGCCTTAGCGGCAGCTTCTCATCTCATGTTTTGAGCATAAGTGGCCATCCACATTAGGTAAAGGAGAGATGAATGGCCCATGGTGGGCATCAAAATGTTGATGTCATTTATCAAACAAGAAGTTTATTTCTGGATTAAAATAGAATCAAGGTCCTCATACTCTTACAGACGGCTAGCTCCATAGATCACAGTTCTTTCCTGCACACAAAATTCTCGAGAGATGAAGAGCCTATGATGGGCGCCAAACTGTTGATGTCAGTTATCAAACAAGAAGTTTATTTGTGGATTAAAGTAGAACCAGGGTCCTCAAACTCCTTCAGACAACTAGCTCCATAGATCGCAGTTCTTCCATGTGCACGAAATACTCGTGAGAGGCCGGAGTTGGATTCTCTGATTGCTCCTCCGATGATCAAGTTAGTATTTGAGCTTGCGTGAGGAGTATATAACAAGTAAGGAAATAAATACATAGTTTCAGAGTTACATGAAGCCGAAGGAGGTACCTCATGTAGTGCCACTCCCTTTTATAGTAGATTGGAAGGGCAAAAAGGTAACCGTGGTCAAGTCCAGGCAGTCAGCTGACTCAAGGTATTAGCTGCTGGAGAAGATAGTCAACCAAGTGGCTAGTGCCAAGCAACAATAGCTCATTTGTGCTGACGGAGCCTGATAAGTCATAAAGATTTTGGGGGCGAGAGCAATGATGACTTTGTCAGAGCAGTTAATGCAAGGGCATGCGTCTGTCAGCGCGGTTCGAGAAAACTACCAACTCTTCAGTCGTCTGGCTGATGGTTGTCAAACCCCACCTTTTTTGTCAGTTACACAGGTTGTCAGTTGATATAGTAGGCCGATCGTGAAGTATTGAGGGCTCGACCTGAAGAATAAGTCAACAAGTATTGCCTAACCACGTGAGTTGTCGGCCTATGGAGTCGGCAGCAGGAGTGGATCGAATGGTCTATGCTCTGATTATGTCTGATCTAGCGCAGAGTGGGACACGTGGCAGCAGGAGTGGATCGAATGGTCTATGCTCTGATTATGTCTGATCTAGCGCAGAGTGGGACACGTGTTTGTTTCTCACGGGAGGCTAACACTAAGTTATTTTCAAGCTATAATAAAAGATAAAAAGATGGTTTTAGATAATAGGATTCATCATCCAAGGCCGGCGATACTTACTGGAGGTAAAGGTATGTGGTATCTTTACCTAAGGTAGATAAACATATTAATGCCAATTGTCTAAACAAATCAGGTGGTACATGTGTCACTATCCTATTAGTTGTAGAAGTCATGAAATTTACTCGGTGAGCAAGTAAATCTAGGTGGAAAGACCTCATTAGTGGTACAAGGTTCCTCTAACATTTATTATAATCAATAAAGTAATGAAACCTTGTACTTAGAAGAATTGATTATTGATGGGGGTTACGTGCAAATTATCTTTAAAGACTCAATATGATTTGAATCAAATTAGTATGATTTTAAAAACTACAAAAAATGCAAAGATGTAATAACCTAAAGGGTAAATTGCACATAACTCCTAGATCTATACCTTCAGTCATCTCATTTATTAGTACTTATCTCCTCTTAATTCCTAAGGGAAGAGTGCTAAGTGCTAATAAATAAATTAGGAGGTTAAGTGGAACTAAAGGTATATATGAGAGGTTAATATACAATTTATCTTAACCTAAGTTTATTATAGCTGTAGTTGTTTCAAATTTTGAAACATTTGGACATTGACTAGATTTGAAACAACTTTAAAAATATTAGCTATTATCTCTATACATATTGAACATTATTGTAAAAGTTGCACATAAAACTTAATTTGTAATACAGTCTTTATTAGTCTAATTCTTGCACATATAAAATATAGCATTCTTTTGCATAAACCATCAATTAGCTAGTATTCTGTAACAAATTACTAGACAGACCGTTTTGTCAATTCAATATTTCCAGCGATCTAAAAAAGAAATAAAGAGAGGGGGGGGGGGAGGGGGGGCAGAAAATTTACAGAAATCCTTTCATAAATTACCAAAACTTTGGGGCATATTTGAAAAAGCGTCTCTCACTCTTATTCCCAGAAATCTAGAATGATCGCAACACTTGGACACTTTGTCTCCTTCCTATCCTATTAAAAAAAATGAGAAAGGAAATTAAATAAAAACAAAAAACGGCAACAGATTAAACACCGCAGCGGGCCCACTTTCTCACCCTTCCTCTTCTGCCTCGGTCTCTTTTTTAAATCCAGACTCTCGGTCTCACCGTCTCATTCATCTCCTCCCCTCTCCTCTCTGCCATTCTCCCTCCGTATTCGGTTTCGATTCGGCTTTTTTAGGTTCTTGAGCCGAAATCGACACTAAAAAATGACGATCATGTCGATGCCGAGCAGCTCAGGATCCAATCTGGACCCGTCGCGAGGCCGCAGCTTGTCTTATTTCAGCAACAGCTACGGTCCTCGGGCTCGCCGCCACCGCCGTCGCGCCGCTCACCGCCGTCGGCGGTCTTTTGTCTGTTACGATACAGGTATTGGACCGATCTATATTGATCTATTCGATCGGATGTGAGCGGTTGTGAATTGCAGTTGGGGGTAATTTGAAAATTTTAGGTCCATCGGGTTTTGGTCTGAAGCTTGAATTCCTGCCGCCGGATTTGATGTCGGAGCACGTGAAACAGCGCGTTTAGACTTACTTCGTTGTTATTTATCGCAGTAGTTTGGTAGAATTTTGCAGAAATTTTTTTATTGAGGTGGTTTCACGTCCAACAATTAGTTCTTTGTCTTTTAACAGATTTAGGACGGTTGTTTTGGGTCCGATTTAGTTCGGTATTTGCTGTTTGGGTTTTAAAATGACTATTTTATTTTAAAAAAATGAAAAAGATTACGTGGTTTTGGGTCCGATTAAGTTCGGTGTTTGCTGTTTGGGTTTAAAAATGACTATTTTATTTAAATAAAAAACGAAGAATATTACTGCTTATAATAATAAAAAAATAAAAAAGAACCTGGAATGTTGGAATCTAATTATTTGATTATTGATAAAAAAATTTAATAATTTTTCTAAGCTTCTAAATTAACATCACATACATAAATATGAACTGTGTAGTTTAGTTTTTTTAGTTGTTGGTAAGATCTACTTTTATTTATGCGACTATCTTCAAGTGTCATTTGTTATGTCCAAGAATTGTTAAATAATTATCATGTGAACCGAATTGGTGGTAAAATAAATCTCTGTAGTGTTTGATGGGATCAAAGAACGCTTCTGCTTGCTTAATGCCTATTGAGATATTGTTTATAGAACTGTAATGCAATCTTATAAGTAGTAATTGTTGATCCTCAGGTGTTATTTCTGGTGCTCTCCTTTATATCAAAGATGATTTTCCATTGGTTAAAGAGAGCAGTTTCTTACAGGTATTATTAGGTCTATATATGCATACATTGTTTGCCCTGTCGATGAGCTATTCTTATTTTGGAGCCATTTTGTCCAGATAACTACGTGGCTATCATTTTGAAAGAAGTTTTTTATGTTACTGAGTTTATATGTTTACAGGAAACAATTGTAAGCATGGCAATATTTGGAGCTATTATTGGTGCTGCGTGGGGAGGGTGGGTAAATGATGCCTATGGGCGGAAGAAAGCCACCCTTCTTGCTGACATGATTTTTGCGATTGGGTCCTTCATTATGTGCGCTGCACCGGACCCTTATGTCCTTATTTTGGGGAGGCTCCTTGTTGGTTTGGGTGTTGGAATAGCCTCGGTTACTGCCCCAGTGTATATAGCTGAAGCATCCCCATCAGAGATCAGGGGTGCCCTTGTCAGTACAAATGTGCTCATGATCACCGGTGGACAGTTCATATCCTACCTTGTAAATCTTGCTTTCACTGAGGTTAGATTCATACTCTCCCTATCTATTTTTACTTTTTGTTGAGATTTATATTAGATATAGCAATCTATAATTATTACAATCTAGGGTTTTCATTTAAGAATAACACATCAGTTATATTGCTACAATGTTACTCATCTGACTAATCAAAATTGCCGAGTAGCTGATATAATAATTCTCTGATTGGGTAGGTAAAATTTGTGCCTAAGATAGCAATTCCTGTCTAAATTGACTAAGCAAGTGTGTGGTAGATACTTATCTTAGTTTGTTAGAAATTTTAGTTGCCATTGTATTAATGCCTAGAGATGAACTTAAGATGGATTTGGCAATTGTGTACACAATGTTTCCTTAAAAAAATGGGTCTCAGTTACCTGTAATGGTCACTGTCTACAACAGTGCTTCTGACTTGTAGTTGTAGCGATGAGGTCTTTATTCAGAAGTCATTGATCAGACCCTTTATTCGGCATCTTTTTAAAATGCAACCAGCAGCGTCTACTTCCAAGCTGGTGAGTAAGTTGGAGCTTATGGTTTATTCTACCGCACATATGGATTATACACATGCCTGTAGTTAGCTGTAATTGGGTCTCAATTAGCTGTAATTGTCACTGTCTATAACAGTGCTTATGACTTGTAGTGATGGGATCTAGCACTTATGTAGAAGTCATGTTCAGACCTATTAGTTGGTGTCTTGCCAAAATAAAGCCAGCACCGTCTAATTACAAGTTGGTAAGTAGGTTGTAACTTTTGTTTTATTTTACCAAATATATGTAATATACGCATGCACAAAGACTTCTGTTATGCAATTTTGAAGGACTCTCTCTGGGTGATATGGAGTTTTGTTCATAGCAGCATTTTATGAAGACCAGCAACACAATGAGGGAAGTGGACCTATCCTGTTAAAGTTATTGTTAGCTTGTTAATTTGTTCTCCTTTGCACTGCAATTACATGTACATTATAGTTAGTGAACTAGAGTGAAATGGCAGGGAGTTAAGCAAGCAGGAAGTGTGGGAAGTTTAAACCTGTCAGGATGTGGAAGTTTGAATTCTATCTCTTCAGTGTTTTTTATCAATTATTAATTATTGATAGTAGACTACTGCTCATTATGAGTGCATCTAGATGCATAGTAAACCTAAAAAGGATGTTGTTTGGTTGATCTTTGAAATTGAATTGCATGATTTCTGATTTGAGTTCTTCTAAGAAATTTATAAAATCATAATATTTGAAATTTTCTTATTGTAAGTTTTGTTTTTCTCTTCAAATTGTGGAGAGGAACTTTGTACTTAAGTCCTGTGTAATATGTTTATTAACAGAGTCTTTATCCATTACTCTGGAATCTTATGAACTTCTGTGCCCTAAAAAGAAGGCACTGATTTAGTGTGCTCTCTGAAAACACGTATCTTTACCATTCTAAATGGCATGACAGAAAATTTATTTCCTTGAGGAGTGGAAGTTTGGTATACTTGCTCTCTGGTAGTGGTAACTGTTCGGTAACTGATCGGATACTAAGACTGTTTTATTGATGCTAGATTTTTTTCTCCTGTTCCGTTCTGTGATTTGCTCAGTTAGTTTTAATATTGTAACTCCATTTTCTTCTGTATCATATCACTATTCAGTTGGCCCCTTATATCCAAAGGCATTTAACCTCTTAGTAGTCATCCAAAAAGCTCTTTAACTTTTACTAGTTCAAGACCAGATCCCTTTTGTATAGTTCAGACAATTCGCAACTGATGGAAGTGCCAAGACCAGGTGTTTATCGTTATTAATTTCATGCCATTGCTTCATCGAGTGATCGAACAATATTCAAATTTAATTAGTGATCACTTGTCATGCTCTTGTAGCTGCTTACTGTTTCCTACCAATTTTTGATTTATTTATTAATTTTCCATATGAAATAAATACCAAACCTACTTCTGCATTCAATTATGCACATTTCATTTACCTACAGCTATTCGCTTTATTTTTTCTCATGACTATGGCAGATGTGCTGCTGATAGAAAGGAGCTATGAATTTTTTTGCTTGCTCAAAACTTTGATGGTAATGGCAATGCTACCTGTTATGTGCTTCAACTATCTAATTGTTGATTTAAATACTTTTCTATGGGAAAATGATCAAATTTGATGGTCAGGACAACTCTATAGGAAAGATACTTTTCTATGGGAAAATGATCAAATTTGATGGTCAGGACAACTCTATAGGAAAGAGCACTTATTTATCAATTTTACTAAAATGCGGGACTTTATTCGTAGCAAGTCTTTAACAAATCCCTTCTTTGAAAAATCAAGTTAATAACACATTTCCAACATACTTCTATCACACATTCATGTCTAGATATCAAACATGTCAAGACTGTCTTAGCACGTTAATGAACACAAGAAATCTTTTAGAATAAAAGTGCAAATGACTGGCAGACAATAAATAAACATGAAAACAAATGAAAGAAAATAAATGAAAACTGCTTTACAACACTACACACTTTTGGTATGCATGTAGCTAGATACCAGATGAGCCCTTCCTTCCCACACGGGACTGCAAGTTGGAGCAATATAAGCAAACCAGTCACACGTGTCATAGGCAACATTAGCTATACCCTTCACAACAGAAAACCAGTCAGAAGTCATCATGGGCAACATTAGCTATGCCCTTCACAACGGCTACATCCTTCTGCATGGCTTGGAAAGGCCAGTTTTATTTCCTTAGAAACTAGATGTATATTTCAGACCTATTTCACGATCTTTGCTGATAAATATTATAATAGTTTTGCCATTATACTCTAGCTTAGAGAAATGGCGAGCCGTTTCATTGATTCTCAATGAAGGATCGGGGATTTTTTGACCAATTCTTATTCAAGTTCGAAAAAAAATTCAGTATTTTCTTCTTTCTGGTGTGTTTATATGGAACAATTGTTTATCCAATTGTGACATGTAGTGTCCAGCAAGAATAATAAAATTTGAATGACAAAGGAGGGGAATCTCTTGGATAAATTAGAGTTTTTAAATTTAACGCTTCTCAGTCTTATCATTATAGCATTAGAATTGTTTTGGAGCCATGTTACAAAATCATTAAGTGTTTTATGTCTTTTAAGGAGGTTTCAGTTTCCCTTCAACTGCAGGAATGGATATCTGCTGCACCTTTACCAGCTATCTGGTACTGGTGAGTTGCGCTACAAATACAATGCATACATGACACTCTTATCAGAAGGCTGATGCTAGGTTTTATTTCCTTTTCCATTCACTCTCTCTAGTTATGTTCTCTTTAGTCTGGTTACCACGCAATCTCCATTAATGTGCTTGTTATCATGATATCTCATGTGTGCGTTTCTTATTTCAAATTTGGATATGAATATCCTATGTCATTATTCAGCTTTCTGTGACTTGGTAAATATTCTTTGTCTGCTGAAGCTGAAAACATCCAAGTGTTTAGTTAGATGTGCATTTGTAACTGCCTGTCATTTCATTATCCTTTATCTCAGCTGTTAGCTTTAATTTTATTTGTTAATGAAGTCTTTTTGTTTTGGATTTTCTTTCTTCCTATCTATGTTTATGATGGAGTCTTTTTGTTTTGGATTTCTAATATATACAATATATCTTTGAAAGGTCATATATGCTTGTGTGAACTTCTAAAGCATCAATTACTTTCATTATTAGTAGGGATTAGTAACCCGCAAAAGGCACCTTTTTTAAAGCATATAGATATCTTGAATACAGGGTGATTGTGTTCTTGTGCCTTGGAGGTCTCTAATTGCTATATTTGTAATATTTACGAGTTATGACTCATCTGTCATACATTTATAAGTAACAGTGTATGGCGTAAGTACGAAGCTTGATGCTTTTAAACTGCAACTGGTTTGTATAGTCAAAGAGAAAATGGACTTCAGGTCATAATTTTACTTTTCCGTTTCATTAGAGAGAAGCAGCATTAGGGGACAGTTTATTCTGTCCATTCAGCCTTGTCTAAGTTGTCAGATCATCCTCAACATATAGGTGGGTAGTCACTTGAGTACCAAACTCTCTCCATTCTCGATGCAATATCAGCACCTTTTATATTTATATGCTAAGTTACAGGAAAATGCGTACGGGACTCAGAAAAATTGTAAAATGTAGGGTACAGGGATGCGGCTAGACACGTGTGTGTGTGTGCTATATTGAGATTAATAATTTACATGAGATTATTATTGTTTTTCAATTCATGTCTTATTTGAATTAAATTCCTATCTTGTTACTAAGTTTCTTTTATTATGTTGATGGTTATAAATAAGAAGCTACTTGTACTTGAACTAGAAACCCAAACTGTCCTTTAAAATCATAGTTTTGAACTTCAGTATGGGCAGAAATGAACCCGACCAATGTCTAACGAGTTTCAAGAAATGGATGTGAGCATTGTCGAGTGTAGAATATACGTCCACGAAGTGTTTGACAAGTGTTTTAAATTAAAATGTATATCATATAATTGAGCACATGTCTGAATAAGTGTATGCATATATTCAAGGAGTGTCATTGAAGTTTGGATACGAGTATGTGTTGGATACGTGTCGGGTACGTGTACAGCTTCATGATAGAAGTACATGGGTAACATAGTTTATATGTGTTTTCAAAATGACAGCTAGTCTGCTAAGATGTTCTAGTTCAACAAAATTCTAAGTGGATGTTCCAGCTGCGACCTGGTCTGCCTTTTGTGTTCACCCATATGATTTGTCTGGGAGATCTATTGCCTTTTTGGCATTCTGATTTTTTCAGGTTTGTTTGACGGTTGTCAAGAAATCTCCTTTCTCTCGGAAAAATTCTCTCTCAAGAAGTCTGCATTGGCTCAGTTTTGCCCTTCTATGAGCCTGCATCTTCTTCTAACATATTTATCTCAAAAGGATTTTTGCCTTTCAGTTTTAGACATTCAGAATCTTGTAATTCTTTTGTACTTTACTGAAGATTGTTAGTGCTTTATGCTTTTTGTGCCTTAAGATTTTCTTCACTTTTGCGCTAATACTGCAGTGAGATGTGACGTCTTGTGCAGGTATCTAGAATTAAAATAATGATATTGTTTAAGTGATAGTTTGAGGATGATCCTTCCCCTTGAATTTCTTGAACTATTTTAGGAGTCAGTGTTTTGATGATACTTTTCGATTTTCTGGACAAGCAACTACTTCACATCTTTGAAGAAGCTTCCTTAATGTCATACGTGCATTATTTCAACTTTTTAATTTTGTGCTTGAATGAAAAGCTACTTCCCATGTACCATCTTGTGCATAACATTTCCCAGTACCCATGGTTTCAGCATGGAGTTGGATTGGACATTGAACTTTATGAAACTTAATATGTTTATATAATATATCTGATTCGGAGAACAAATACTGACAAAGTTTGGTCATTCTATACTTTGCTAACCTGACGCTTTTAACAGGTAGCTGGGACATGGCGCTGGATGCTTGGAGTTGCTGCATTGCCAGCCATCATTCAGTTCTTCCTAATGCTACTTCTGCCTGAATCACCGCGCTGGCTTTTTCGCAAGGTTGGTGATTCTCGTTAATATTTGAAGTTTTTCTTCAATATTCTAATATGTTCCTTGGATTTAATTCTTGAACCTGGATGTTACTGATACATGCAGAATGAGAAAGCTAAAGCTATTGCCATACTTTCAAAAATCTATGATTTTGAACGTTTGAATGAGGAAATCGACATTCTTTCCAGCGCTTCAGAACTAGATATCTTCAGAAAGACTAAACCTGGGTGTCTGGATGTTTTTAGATCCAAAGAGATGAGGCTTGCTTTCTTTGCCGGAGCTGGCTTACAGGTAAATGGTCGAGATATCTTGTAGTTGTTGTTAAGCCAAATCTCACCGGTTTTGAAAGTCTCATTGATCAATTTCAATCCATCCCTTCTTAACCTTTTATTTCTGTCTCAGATAACTGCAGTGCTATAACTGCTTCATTTTATTTTGTGGTCTGTTATCAGTATTATGTCCTCGAATACCATATGTTACTACCATTATAAATAGCACATTACCTTAAGCTTCTACAATTTATGAATTTAGCATTTAATTGTTGGTATGTTTTGGTAGTTTAAAAATTTCTTTCTTGAGTTTAGCTGAGCTAAGTTGCATGGGTATGGGTGCAGTTACGGGTATGGGAGATGGAAAAATTTGTTAAAGGTAGGGTATGGGGTCACGGCTGAAACTCATGGGGTATAATCATAGTTCAGAGCTATATATGTAAACGACCTTTTTAAATTGTAGTTCTTATCCAGCAAGTTACAAAAATGGATGAAGTGTATGATATATATCCGAGAAGTGTATAACGAGCGTTTTAAATTAAACATGCATTGTATAATTGAGTACTAGTCTGAATAAATATATGCATATATTTAAGGAGCGTCCAAGCAGTGTTGATATGGGTATGGTACGACATGTGTCAGGTATGGGTATGGCTCCAGTACCTAGGTAACATAGAAGCTGAGTCACAAAGTATTAACCTGCCAACCATTTCTGCCCTCTCTTTTCATCTTTAATCACTGGTTGGGGTTTAAAACTTAATTGGTAACGATGAACTTAATATCACATCTAGAATTCTCCAAATGAAAATACTCTACCTTGTGTTTCCTTGACTTTCTGTTGCTCTTCTTCCGTCAGAAACCTCAATTCTTTTCTTAAACCGCAAACTTTTGTTCTCTACAAGTTCAGAAACTTTGCGTCTTCAGGCCTATGCTATTGGGAACATATACATGTTGATGCCTTATTTGATATGCTTCTGATTCCAAACGCACATCATAGAAACACGTCTTTCATAACTTTCTCAGTCTTCTGCAAACTTCTCCAACCTTGATATGAGTATTCAAAAACAAATAAGAATTGGTTGCTTAGAACCATTGAGGATCGCAACACTAAATGTGCTTCCGTCTATTGACTGTTTCTGTACTTTGCACTTTAATCTTTCACACAGGCATTTCAGCAATTCACTGGAATCAACACAGTAATGTACTACAGCCCTACTATCGTCCAAATGGCCGGCTTCTCCTCCAACCAGCTCGCCCTCCTCCTCTCCCTCATCGTCGCGTCCATGAATGCCGCCGGCACCATCGTTGGCATCTTCCTCATCGACCGCTGCGGCCGCCGCAAGCTCGTACTCACCAGCCTCTTTGGAGTCTTCATCTCTCTCCTCCTACTCGGTTTTTCTTTCTCTGTCGAGTCTTCCGCCATCTCCTCCAACCTCAAAGCCAGCTATGGTTGGCTCGCAGTTGCAGGCCTGGCTCTCTACATCCTGTTCTTCTCACCAGGAATGGGCCCAGTTCCATGGGCTGTTAACTCTGAAATATATCCCGAAGCTTACAGAGGGATTTGTGGAGGGATGTCAGCGACGGTGAACTGGGTATCGAATCTGATCGTGGCTCAGAGCTTCTTGTCGATCATTGGATTGGTTGGGACTTCGGTGACATTCTTTATTATTGCTGGCATCACGGTATTGGCGTTTGCATTTGTGATTGCTTTTGTGCCGGAGACGAAGGGGTTGAGCTTTGAGGAGGTGGACAGATTGTGGAAGGAGAGGGCTTGGGGGCCTGCAGGAGGTAATTACAGGCAGAGCTTGCTTGATTCTGAGGCATAATTTCAATAGATGTTGCCGTTGTTTCTCCTGCATATGCATCGCCTTCTTATTTTTGAAGAAGGTGGTGGTTTCTGTGCGTTGGAGAGTTAAGGTGTTATACGAGGGGCTTGGATTTGTTGATCACATATGTGTCTAGTGTCTTTATTTTTCTTTTTTTTTTATCTTCTCTTTTTTCTGTAATATATTGCCCGGTAAGTCCAAATTGCTTTGTTTTCTGAAATTGTTGTAGCATCTCCTTCTGTATAATATATCATCCAGTTAGTTCAGAATTTGTATTTTGTGCTTTGGTTTTTGTTTTTGTTTCTATTTTTATTAGGAAGAATATTATCTCGCTGTAGAGGGTGTGCTGAGTCATTTGACATATTGTACAGGTTTTGTTCCATCTGCAAGATTGACAAATGAGAACACTGCAAATGACATCTCAGGAAATGCGAGTTCCATGCTGAGCAAGTGTAGGTATGGTCAACTTCTTCTGACCTTAACAAATTCTTTGATTCTTATTTCTCAAAAAAAAAAAAAAAAAAAAAAAAGAAGAAAGAAAAAAAATCTTTGAGACTCTTATCATTGTGTTCTTTTCATTATGAGGAGTTTGTGTGTAACTGAATATTGATTGTTGATTGTGATTCTTTATTTGTTTAGTGTTGTCTATTTGAAATTGGACTGCTTTTCAAAGCTGAATCCTCTGCAGTTCTTTGTTAACAGAGAATTCACTTATCGCACGATCATGAATAGATTGTTCATAAATGAAAAGAAAATGGCCGCAGCCTGTCATTTTAAACTTTCAGAGAAAAACGAGTGTTTTTGCGGGAATGGGACGAAACTTTTAACACGATGGCGCGTGTTTTTATATATACTAGATTGGATGCACGTTCAAAGGTTAAATATTATTATTATTATTTAGGTCTATTTTTTTTACTTAAGCTGGTTGTGAAAAAGTGAAGTCAGTTATTGTTTATATATCTATATAGTTAATTAAAAGTACTAACATTATTATGGCCAAAGCCAAATTACATGGTCAATTAGCATTAAGTTCAATTTACAATAGTACATGAAGGTCAAAATCCTTTTATAAAAAAATGTTACTTTTATGCAAATAATTTCCTTGTCATCACGATTCTATATTGTCATCTTATAATTTGCTTAGATTCAAAGTATAATATTCTAATGTTTATAATCTATAATTTAATAATCTAATAATTTTTCCTTTAATGTGATGTCTCATGAGGCTAATAGACTCTTAAGAGAAGATCATACCAATAATCATGGATCTTAATTATGAGAAAATTTTCAAGATGTTATATTTATATTCTATCTGTTTATGTTCTGGATTTTCAAAGTTAGTAAGCTATGAAATGACTAATTGATATATTTCATGCTAGTATGTATCATTTTCTTAGTATAGTGACGTTTTTTTTTTCTGAGACAGAGAATTGTTTTAATTGGATTATACGTTCACATCTTTAAGTTATTTTTCTTAATGAATATTAGATTCCTCTTAAGTGTTCTTCTCTGTCTCATTGGATTCTCTTGTAATTTAGAACTTTTTTAGCATAACTGCCTCAGTTACATCTTTTATCAGGAGTCATCTCTATTTCTTAGTATACGGTAGCTAGTGTTATTCTGATGGGATGTAATTATTCTAATTAGAGTCTTTCAACATAATTGCAAGTGATCAAAACCCTAGATCTTTTGAAATAATATATATTAAACATCTCATAATTAAAATATCTAAAATTTTTAAACAATACCTATTTGAGTAATTTTACTCACATAATTATTTTTAATTAACATACCTATTGAATATCTCAAAGACTTGTAATTGGTGAAACCCCTACATATTTTTAAATAATACATATTGAACATCTCATAATCAAAACATTAGAAAAACTTAAATGTGCGACTAAAACTAATTTATACATCTTTTCGTGTGTGTTTATAAATTATAGTATTGGAAAGACAAAATGTTTAAAATGGAGTACTGCATTAAATTATAATTTAGTTGTAAAATAGGAGTCCTTATTTGAGTAATTTTACATAGATAATTCTTTTTAATTAACATACCTATTGAACATTTCAAAAATCTAAATATCCGCAATTTCACTCTTCAAACTGCCCTTTTCTAGTCATTAACAAATTTATAAAAAAACTTTTTTTTCATTAAGTTGGTTGCTTATGGTAAAATGTATTATCTTTCTATTTGATATAGTAAATTATTAAGCAAATGGTATAGCTCATGTTTAGTGCATATAACTATGCGAACAAATTGTAACATTTTAAAGGTTAGTTATTAAAACACTCTTTTTAACTCTTGATGATAATCAAATAACCGCGCGTAACTTTGAAAATATCAGAAAATCCACTTAAGTTTAGAGGTTATCAGAAACCCCTTTAACTTTAAGATTTTATGAGAAAATCCCACTAAATCAATAAATTTAGGAGGATTTTTTTGATAAAATCATAAAGGTGACTGGTTTTCTAATAAAATCTAAAAGTTAAAGGGGGATTTTTCATAGTAACCATTTTAATATGAGAAACCCATCAAGTTTAACCATATTGTAGCTAACCCTCTTTAAACTATGAAAATTTGAGATAACCCCTTGAACTTTTCTCACTTAACCCCCCTCAAATGTAGGGTGTGTCTAAGAAAACCTCCCTCAGCTATTTTAATTTGAGAAACCCCCTCATGTAAGTTAACTATTTTAATTTGAGAAACCCCTTCATGTTTGAGCTTATTATAGATAACTCATCTCAAGTTTGAAAATTTAGGAAATCGTCATGATCTCTTCTTACTTTACACTCTAAAAACTAATATTGTTACTCTAATAGCCCAATAATTTTAGGTTTTATTCACTTAATCCCCATTATTTTTTGGCAAAGAAACCCCGAATACTGAATGTATATAACTTTGGAGACTTTTCAAAGGATTGTTTATAATTATTAAAATTTTCAAGAGGTAGATTGTAATTTTTAGATTTTAAGGGGATTTGTTTCTAATTTAGATTTTGGAGTGTTGTTTGTACTTTTTATGTTTTTAGTGTTTTTCTTGTAATTTCATGTGGTTTTTTTGTAATATTTTTAATTTAAAGGGGCTGTTTATAATTTTTAGGGGATATCCTCAATTTAAAATTTTTCAACATGCAATTTTTCCATATTTAAATTTATTCTATTTTTTGTAATTTTCATATTTTCTTGCGTTTGTTTGAAATTTTTAATATTTAGGGGCTATTTATAATTTTTAAATTTTAAAGGGGTTTGTTTGTACTTTTTAGATTTTGAATAGGTTGCTTTTAATTTATGAATTTTTTGGGTCATTTATAATTTTAGAATGCTAAGAGACTTTTTTTCAAATCAAGGTTTTTTTTATAATTTTATGAAACCCTCAAAATTAACATATAAGTAAATTTCAATAAACCCTTAATAAGTTTTTATTATTTGGAACTAAATCTTAAATATCTTTAAAATTCTTATTAAATTCTCAATAATTTTTAGCAGAAAACTCTCAAAGTTAATGTCATTAGTTCATATGTAGTCAAATGACCAAAATAGACTCCAATAACCTTAGAAGTTTTATGTTTTTTCAATTAACCGCCAATAACTTTTGGTAGAAAATCCAAAATAATGGATGTTTATAACTTTTAGATTTTTTTTCCGAGGTTTGTTTGTAATTATTAGAATTTTATAGAGGTTGGTTATAGTTTTTAAGTTTTAAAGGGGTTTATTTTTAGTTTTTAATTTTGTGGGGGCTTTTATATTTTTTGGGAGGTTTTTTTAATTTTTGTAGGGTTTCTTTGTAGTATACTAATTTAAAGGATTTGTTTATGATTTTTAAGATTTTTAGGGGGTTTTTTGCAATTTAAAAATTTGTAGGATGCTAGTTGTCATATTTTACTTTTTATGAGATTTCTTGTAATTTTCATTTTTTTTGTTTCTTTGTTTGGATTTTTAGGAGTTGTTTGTAATTTTCAAATTTTAAAGGGGTTTGTTGTATTGTTTATTTTTTAAAGAGGTTTGTGTGCAAATTATGAATTGTTCGTGGTTCATTCATAATTTTAGAAATTTAAGAGTATTTTTTTTTCATTTTTAAGATATTCAAGGTTGCAACTTTTAGATTTTTTATGGGACTATATGTTTTTTTGAAGGGTTTATCCCGATTCATCAGTGGGTTTCCTATAATTTTTAGGAATTTAAATAAGGTGATTTGTAGCTTTAAAAATTTTCCATGTGTTATTTGTAATTTTAAATTTTTAGGTAGTTATTTGTAATTTTTCATATTTTTTGGGTTGTTTGTAAATTTATGGATTTAATTTTCAAATAAGAATGATTTGAGGGGTATATACTGTCTTTGAGGGTTAATTTTAGCCAATGTAAAATTTAGGGGTAACGATATTTTAAAAGTTAAGTGCAAAAAATAAAAATGTTTTGGGTGTTTTTTTAAAATTATCAAACCTACTGAAAGTTTAGTGAGAATTACAAATATTCTGAGAGTTTAATGCTCAATTCAAAGTTATGAGTGGTTTATTGAAATTTACTTTTAAAATAATTAAGGAGGGGCATATGACAATTTTTTAGATTTTTTTAATTGTGGATAGTTACAATTTGTTTCGAATTAACAAAATTTTGGTTATTAGAATTTTCTACTTTTTAAGGATAAAATTTTCTAATTTTGGATGTGAATAGTTTTAACTAATGAGAATTCTTAGGAAGATGGAGTTAGTTGGACATGTGTCATATTCTAACAGGGTAGATAATTAGTTTCATTATTTGATCTCTTTTCATATCAAATTTTGGTTAAAGATTTTACCTTTAAATTATTTGAATATATATTATTAATTAGGATAAGATTAGAATAAAAAATCGACCAAGGAAAGTTTTTCACAAACTTGCACTTTTATAAGGAGTATGATATATATAAGGATTCCCTCATATACAATAATGTGGTACAATTTTCACCAAGTCAATAAACTAAGAGAGAGAAAGCCTTCAAAGAGCCTCCCAAGGAGGCTCCTAAGGATGATGTGGCAAGGAAAAAGCTCTTAAGGTGCTCCAACAAACTCTCAAGCACCCTCCTAAGTCCTAGTTAGCGGTGTGGCCTACTATGGAGCTCCCAAGTGCTCCATAAATTAGGAGCTCCACAAATTTGTGGAGCAATTGGGAGCTCCTAAGGGTGAGGGCTCACTAAAAATTATTTTTTATTAGATTTATTATTTTAAAATATATTTATAAAATATTATTTTTAGGAGAATGAACGTTTTAAATAATATTTGAGCTCCTAGTTGGGAGTTTGTT